CGGGCTCTCTGCTCCTTGGGAGCCTGCTTCTCCCTCTGCCTCTCTCTCTCTGTCTCTCATGAATAAATAAATAAAAATCTTTAAAAAAAATACTGAAAAAAACCTAACCACTAGGTGCCATGCAATGCAAACACTATTCAGTCACCCACTACACCATAACTGCATTTAAATCTATAATGACCGGCATTAATCACGGCAAATTCAATGAAGAAAAGGCACTAGCATAACACCTTAACTTCTTGCAGAGGCCCAGAGTCATCATCTCACACTGGATGACTCACAGTTTTCCCAGCTTCTACCTTCAGGGAAACTTTGTGCTATTTCTGATCCTTTCCTTGTATTTGCACAGTCATGCCCATGCCATTGTTTACAACACACTAGGAATGAGCCATGCGGCTATTCAGTGTATCTATTTAGGGACCAGAATCTGAAAACCAAAGATTTCACACAACTTCCTGTAACCCTAACAAGACTAATTATCAGAAGACACCTTATCAGACAAGTAATGCAGACAGGTTTAATTACTCTGGAGTGTGGCGGCCTTTTAAATAGGGTTTAGCCAACAGATTCGTTAGTTCCTATTGAGGACCCTACCTTATCAAAGGCTCAATCATTCTACAGAAAAGAAATCTTTCTTCCTTTTATGTGTTCTTACAGCAGCCTGCTCGTGGGCCGTCAAGCAGGTGCAAGGAGGGCAGGCCCGCGGTCGCTACAGCGTTTGGGCGGGAAGCCGCGCGTCCCAGGTGATCTCGCCTCACTCCCGCGAAGTTCCCCTGCAAGCCCCGCCCCGCCGTCCTCCAGCCCCCCTTCCCTGCACTCCCGCCGACTGATTTCAGATGACCAAAGGCCACACTGCCCCAACAGCGTCGGGGCTACGGCACTTCCGCCCGCGTCCCGCGGAACTACAAGCCCCGGCAGCCCCTGCGCAAGGCCCGCCCTCTCCCACCTCCGCCCAAAACGAGTCCCAGAACCCTCCGCGAGACGCCAGGCCTCGAAATAGAACAAAACCGGCCGATGGGGGATGGGGAAAGGCGAGGGTCGCGGAGGACACAGGAGATGGAGGACTCTCCGATAGTGCGGGAAGCCCGATCTGGCCTTCCTTCTACACCTATCCGCCCCCCAACTACTGGACGCGGAGACCGCGGCCTGTCCTTCGCGCCTCCCGGGAAGCCAAGGTCCCCGCCAAGCTTCTTCGCTGATTCCTGCCAAGAGGTCCGCAGCCTCTTAGCCCAGCGTCCCCCTCACGCCCTTCCCCCCATTCTCGGGCAAACCTCCACCTCAGGATCCGCAGCAGCTTCGCTGTCCAAAGCAGACGCAGAAACGCCGCTCACAAACCGTTTCCCAGAAGCCCCCGGCTCGGACTGCTTCCGGTCTGCGGGTCCCAGGAGGCGGGGAGAGGCGAAGCCCCGCGTTGCCATGGAGATGCACTCCGGGAGGGGGAGGGGCGGCGCGACGACAATGACCGCTTTGAGGCTGCGCTTGGCCTCGCGCCACTCTGGATAGCCCAGAGTTCTGCGTTCCGCTTAAGAGACAGGGAAGAGAAAGAGAATTCTGCCACTAAGGTAGTCTCTACGGTTTCACAAGCCATCTGACAGGCATTATCTCATACGAAGCTCACAGTAACCCTCTGAAAGAAATAATAAAAGCGAGTATTTATGAGTGCTTACTGCATTGTACCAGCCACCCGTATTGTCATTTTCACAACAGGTCTATGATGGTAAGAACTTTTATTATTATCCCCATTTCTCAGGCGAGATAGATAACTGAGGCACAAGTAAATAACTTGCCCAGAGCTCATAACTAGTAAGGGGGAGAAAAGATTTGAAACCAAAGCATGACTCCCACTTTTGGCTCCCACACATGTTACGCAGCTTTATTTTGACCAAATTATCTGTCAGGGAAACAAGATGAGACTCTTAAGAGCTTTGGCAGTGATCTCAGTGAATTCGCAAAGTGCATGGTCATCTTCTGACTTCAGACTTGACATTTTATACCACAAAACAGCTGCTGAAGTTATCATTGGAAAAGTAAATCAGCCCACTTCATTCCCCTATTTAAAGGCCTTCAGAGGATCCCCACTGCCTTAAGTATGGTGTAAAAACTCCTTACACTGGCCTGCAAAGCCCCCTGTGGTCTGTTCCCTGCCTCCCCACTCTGACCTCAGCTCTTAGGCTCAGTGTGACTCTGGATTCTTAGCCTCACTGGAAGTCTCTGCACCCTTCATAGCAGGGGAGAATGATCTCATTTATTCATTTCCCTGTTCTGTGCTTTTTTTTTTTTTTTTTTTGTCTGTAAGTCCCATAAGGTCAAGGACCTTGTTTGTCTTGTACACCACAGTATCCCCACCTAGTCCTAGGATGCTGACTGGTACATAGAGAACTCAATAAATATTTGTTGAGTAAATGAATGAATGGTGGGCTTGTCACACTGCCCCTTTTGCTAGGTCACATGTCAGGCCTCAGAAACCACACAAAAGAGCCCTGTTGTTTAAGGTCTATGTTAGAAGTGCAGGTCCAGCCTTCCAGAAGCATTTCAAGATCCTCAGGCTCCGGCTTTCTGCTTCATTCAGGCCTTCATAAAGTGCCCCCAGCCTCTGCTGGATTCGTGAATGAGAGAGCTAGTGAGCAAGCTGCTGATGGTACAGCACTAATTTACCATCTGACCAGAACTTTGATTCCCCAGAACTCCTGCTAACTCTGGTGCCTCTTCTCTCTTTCCTCGTTTAGGAGGCTACAAAATCCAGCCATTTCACTCTCCTGCTTGGCTACTGCCACCAAGCTGCTTGGCTGCTCTTCCCAACTTTTCCCTCTTTTGTGACCCTAAAGGCTAGCTAGCTCAAGGCATTTTTGTTTTATTTTGTTTTGCTTTGAGGTTTTACATCTAATGTTAGAAAACAAAAAAGATAAATAATATTAAACAAATAGTTGGGGACATTCAAAGTTGCAAAATTTTATAAAACTCTCTGCTTGGGATTTGTTTTATTATTCTTTTTTTTTTTTTTTAAAGATTTTATTTATTTATTTGACAGAGAGAGGCACAGCGAGAGAGGGAACACAAGCAGGGGGAGTGGGAGAGGGAGAAGGAGGCTTCCCGCCGAGCAGGGAGCCCGATGTGGGGCTCGATCCCAGGACCCTGAGATCATGACCTGAGCCGAAGGCAGACGCTTAACGACTGAGCCACCCAGGCACCCCTGTTTTATTATTCTTAATTCTAAGAGAGTAAATGGAAGCCACAATGAGGTTTCCCTAATTTATTCTTTTGAGGGCAGGGACCCACAGCACCCACTTTGAAACACCATCCTTCTGAGCCCCATTATGTGGGCTCTTTCCTGAATGGTGGCCCCTGTTGCCTTCTTAAAATTACAGTCAAGATAGGGCATCATGTTCCTCTGAGCAACCTGAGTGTAAGGAATAGCTCCATACCAGCGCTGGACAACCTTGCACATACCTACATAGGTCATGTAGGAGAGGTTCGAACTGCAGCTGATTTGGGTCTTGGCAGAACACCTTGTGATCCTCCCAGAATGTGAGAGCATGAGAGGCTTGTGAGGAGCTGCAATAAGGCCATTTGCCACTCATGTCCCTGTCTTCCAAGGAGGCTGACAGTTCTTCATTTCTTCCTGGGTTGTGATGAGGGTGTCTGTCTCACCTGATACAACAGAGCATTAGCCCCTTAGCAACAAGCCATTCCACATCTCAAGTTGAAGTCATCTGATTCCTTTTGTTTTGGTGTTATCCTTTTGGTGTGAGACAATAGCTGGCACCTTCTGGCTACTCTTGGTTTCACTATGTAGGTACTGATCTGTCTAAATCTAAAAAAGGCTCATTGTTTCTTTACCAGCTAAATCTTTTGACCTTGCTTTGAAAGCATCTCATTCATTAAATAATGGTAAAAAACAAAAACCAGGTAGATACTACCTGGGTTCCAGAGACCTAGACATGACTACAATGAAGTCATGATTCCTTCTTTTAACATTACTGTCTTGTTTAGGAGATGAACAAAAAAACCCAAGTATTTATAAGGCAGTAGAGAAGTACTCCGGTAAAAGAAAAACAGAATGCCATGAGGAAGTGTGCTGAAGGGGAAGAGAGGCACCCAAAGATGGAAGAAGCAAAGTAAAAAAAAATTTTCACATTGGAAGGAAAGCACAGCTCTCGGACCTGGTTTTAATCAGATTTCATCCAAGAATAATCATAATCTTTTCTAGCTTTTCTGTAACAATTATTTTGAAGCTCTCAGTCCTTCCCCTTGGTTCAGAAGTATTTCTGTCTGGGCATTTAAAATACATTGGTTAAAGATTCTGTTTTAGCCAATAAGTGCACTGAACTAGGAGTCTTTTGATTGCAAGTAGCTAAAAGCCTGTGGCAGGCTTTGTTTACTCCCGATATAAACCACTCTCCAGGCACCTGGGTGGCTCAGTCAGCTAAGCATTGACCCTTGATTTCAGCTCAGGTCTTGATCTCAGGGTCCTGGGATGGAGCCCTTCTCTGGCTGCCCGCTCAGCAGGAAGTCGGCTTGTCTCCCTCTCCCTTCACCCCTCCCCCTGCTTGCTGGTGTGCACATTCATTTGTTCTTTCTCAAATACATCTTTAAAAAAAAAGTACTCCCCATTACTTCTAATATGTTCCCGATTTTTTTGATTGGAGGGGACAACCCTGTGCCCAGGCACAGAGAGTAAGCTGTGATTAAACTAAGCCCTCCATGACCATTTTGTTTCTCTTTGCCAGATACTCACTTTGCCTCTCTGGCCACTAGGAATGGCCATGTGATTCAGTTCTAGTCAATGAGATGTAAGAGGAAGTTGTTTGTGTCCCTCAAGAAATTTCTCTATTTCATGTAAGTTGTCAAATTTATTGGCATAAAGTTGTTCATACTACTTCCTTAATATCCTTTTAATGTCTATTGGATTAGTAGTGATGTCCCCTCTTTCATTCCTAAAATTGGTAATTTTTGGTTTGCTTTTCTTTATCAGTTTGCTTCTAATTCATCAATTTTACTAATTTTTCAAAGAATCAACTTTTGGCTTTGTTTATTTGCTCAATTATTTGTTGTCTATTTCATGGAGTTCTCCTTTTTTAAAACAATATACAGTAAAATTGACTCTTGTTTTGGCATATAGCTTTATGAATTTTAATACATGTATAGATTTGTAAAACTACCACCAAAATCATAATGTAGAATAGTTCCATCATTCTATAAAACTTCCTCAGGCTGTACTCACAACTTTTCTACATCCCTAACCCGTAGCAACAACTAATTTATTATCCATCAAAATAATGTTGACTTTTCCAGAGTGTAATATAAATGGAATCATAAAGTATATAAACTTTTACATACCTTTCATTCAGTGTAATGCCTTTGAGATTCATCCATGTTATTGCATGTCTCCATTGTTCATTTCATTTTATTGCTGAGTCGTATTTTTCTGCAGCTATCGTAGTTTGTTTCCATTAAATTGCCTTTTCATCTTTTTTTTTTTTTAAGATTTTGTGTGTTTATTTGAGAGAGGGAGTGAATGAGAGAGATAGAGCATGAG